TCGTCGTCGTCGTAGTAGTAGTAAGAGTAGGCGTAGGAGTAGGAGTAGCAGTACTAGTGGTAGTAGTAGTAGTAGTAGTAGTAGTAGTAGTAGGAGTAGGAGTAGGAGTAGGAGTAGGAGTAGGAACAGGAGTAGGAGTAGAGTAGGTGCTTGAGTTTTCTCGCCATCGTCACCATCAAACTGACTACACTGATCACCTTCATCCCCAACCTTATCCCAACCCTATTCTCCTCTCCATCCCCTTCGTCGTCGATGAAAACATCACACGTAGCACGATGCTGCGCCATAACCATAGTTATAGTAGCCATGTATCGCAGTATGCCGACACAGCGTCTTCGCAGCACAGTAGTTTTCACACAGCGCATAAGCATTTCAATGCCTCACTGTAGTAGCCAGAGTACTCGTACTGCTCACGCCAGGCCTAATAACGATAATGGCAGTAGCATGCATCACCACCAGAGACCATGGGTAGGAAGAGCATGTAACAGCCCCGGGAGGCTGGAGAACATTATCAAAAGGTCACCAGAGCCATGACAATTGCACCAGCACCACAAGAAACATCGTGAGATGTCGTTGCTTCACCGTCATGACACCACGAAACAACTGTTGGACTCACGGCTCACGAAGAAGTTCATACCTATATCACCATACCAAGTCGCAGTGGAGCTGCAGCCGAAAGCCACGCCGTGCTCCTCAATCCCTCCAAGCCCAAACCCTCGACCGCGCGTGCAAGGCGTACAACATCATCCACAATGCCTGTCGCTACACACTCTCCGGCACAGCCAGCCGGCCTGCATGGCTTCCGGCGGTTAGGTAGTCTTCAACGCTTTCATAATCGTCACTGCATAATGACAGGACTAGTTAGAATGACCATAGTAGCCAGAAGAGCTACAATGACTAGAACAAGTACAAAACTATAGTAACTACATGAACTACAACTCAATAGAAGGAGTACTGTAATATAATGTTGCAAGGATGCCAACGAATACTAAGTTCACTAAGCGTTTCAAGAATACTAATACTAGTAATACGAGTATTACTCACATGAGTATCATATAGCAACATTATTGCTACTACGACTACGACGACGACGACGACTACTACTACTACTTCTATTACCACCACCAGTAATAGTAAGAGGAATATGAATAATCACAACATGCAGTGGCTAAGGCTAAGGGTCAGGGGTTCGGCTACACCTGCCGGGCTTCGATGACGGGGAGTCTTTCTGCGTGCGAGCTTTCCCACCGCCATTGTGACGCTCGATTGTTGATGCCTTGTTCTCGCTGGAAGGTGTAGATCCTGTTTGTGCTCGTCGCTACCTAGAGATCATACCTATCGTTGTGTGTCCATGTGCGAGAACGCCCTATTGACACCAAGTTACAAAAGACCTTGTGATGCCCTTGTAAAGCCTTTATGCAAACCTTTACTAAACCCCTTATCGAAAGGCCGTAATATAGGGCCTGGATAGTTACCTGTACTATGTTGGGGCTCCTCTAACATACCCCAAAACCCTATTCTAGTTATGAAGGCGCCTATACTACACCCCTTAAAAGAAGGAGCCCTGAAATAAAGGAGCCCTATTCTGGCTACTAAACCCTAAACCCTTAAACCCTAAACCCTAAACCCTAAACCCTAAACCCTTAAACCCTAAACCCTAAGGCCCCCAGGTAAGGGCCGCCCAAAACCCGAGGTGACGATCTCGGGCACCCACGACAGGGAGAAGCGTCACCCCTGCACTGAAGACTGCTTTTGCGGCTTCGGGTCTCGGGTTAAGGGTTTAGGGTTTAGGGTTCAGGGTTTAGGGTTTAGGGTTTAGGGTTCAGCGTTTGGGTTCGGGGTTTCGGGTTAGGAAAATCATGTCGAAACCTTAACTGATTTCATCGAAGATCAGTGTGAACTCCAGCCCGAAGTCCTTGGAACGAATTGTGGTTGGGGCTGTTCTGATCTTGCAGATCGCTGGTACTTTGGTTATGGCTATGATCAGTATCCAGGTTCTCTCACATATCCCCTTACATTAGATGGAGCTGTGAGGTCCCTTTATCAGTTCACCGTGAAAGACACGGGATGTGGAATTCCGAAGGCTGGGCCGGTACAACAGGGTCCTCAACAGTTGGAATGGGTTTCTTTAAAGGAGCCCTTCAAGGAAGGATCCCCTAGAAGAACCCTTAAAGGGTTTCTTCTACTTCGCGGCCCCTCTCACATCTGCCAGAGACCTAGGGAGTATGGCCATTCGACCTCAAGCGACCCTGAACTCCAAGCTCTCGAAGCCCTAGAACCCAAACCCGCGCTCTGCGACCATCATCATAACCAAAATTAGTAATGGTAGGAATTGTGAGTCATAGTACATGATGTAAGAATATATGGAACAGTAGACATAAGAAATAGTACCAAACATACTATATGAGTAGTAGTTGTCGCAACAGTAACACGAACGGAATATGACTTGAAGGAGTTCCAGGCATCCAGCCTGCAACCCGCCCCTGCGCCCCGGGCGAGGGCGCCGGCACGCTGCATGCAGGCTTCGGATCTGGCAGTAGTTTAGATAGAGTGTAGGGTTTATGTAGGGTTTTAATGGTTTCATGGTAATTATTGTAGCAGGAACAGCCGTAGTAATCAGCAGTAGTAATTACAGTCGTAGCGACTGCTGCCTGGCCAATGCCTACAAAGAGGACCACTTGCATCTGGCCGTATTTTGTTGGCACCACTATTTCTGCCACTGCCACTGCTACTGCCACTGCCACCGCTACTGCCACTCCCTGCTCCTGCCACTGCTACAGCTACTGACCGCTGCTTCTGCTGCTACTGCTCCTGTTACGGCTACGGCTGGCTACAGCTAGGGCAGCGGCTCCGGCACGGCTACGGCTGCGACTGTGGCCTGCTACGGCTACTGCTATTGCTACTGCTACTGCTGCTACTACTACTACTACTACTACTACTACTACTACTACTCCTCCTCCTACTCCTGCTCCTACTCCTACTCCTGCTCCTACTGCTCACTGCTACTGCTACTGCTCCTGCTGCTG